TTCGACTAACTGTCATAAAAACAAGAAAATAAAACTATTCGAGTGATCTGTCAAAAACCTGTGTAAAACTAAAAACTGTATTGGCAAATTACAAACTCAATTCACATTCTTATGTTCAAATTCAGCCTGTTCTCACTCCCGAGGTGTAATACAGTGATGATTTTGTCAAGTCCTGAGGTGTTCCTTCTGCGTTCTTATGCTACGCCTGGGTTATGGATAAAATCCAGTAGAATGACTCTCCCAGGGTAATACACGTCCCAGCCATGTATTCCAGCCCTAACCCTAACTTTATTCCTAAACTAGTGCTGTCAGCACGGCGTCGATGCATTAATGCGTTAGCGCAGTCCAGCCCCACACGCGGGGAGATCCGCGTTAACTCACTAAAGGAGATTTGTCGCATTAATGCGGTTATGGTGTTAACGTCATTTTAACAAGATTAATGCTGACAGCACTACCTTAAACCTAACCATAACCTTATCCCTAACCATAACCAGGACTTTAGACATTAGATAGTGTTTTCCAAAGCGATTTAAGTAAAACGAATGCAGATTAATTCCAAACGGTTCCCATGTTTCCTCATTTCCTCATCTCGTAAAATAGGGAGATCTCATTAAAACAAATTTTTCTGTTCAAGTATGCAAGTAAAAAACTGTAATTTTGCTTCTTAATCCAAAAATAATAATGAGTCTTTTCTTTTTTTTTGCTTTTTTACAACAGTAAAATTGAAAATTTATGGAGAACAATTATATTTTACATTAAGATTACTTTGTACAAAGAGTTTGTGAATATTCTTGGATTGCCTATTACAGAAATAGAAAAATGATTTGGGTAATGAACAGTTCTGTTAATTTAAACTGGCTGGTGGTCTAAGACATTTTTTTATACTTTTTAAAATACTTTTATTTTTTGTATACCTTTATCTGTAGGGACTGCATAAAAGAAGCTTTACTATCACATCAACAAACTAACTGTATTTTCTGCACAGTCCCATCCCACATATTGTATGGAGGAAGGTTGATGCTACAGACCTCCC